CCCAGCCCCTGTAACCATGACACAAACCCAAGCCAAATATCTTTGGATACTAAATGCAGCATGCAGTTCACAACGTTTTCTTCCTAGCATCTGAACTGTAAACCAGGCTTTTTCTAAGTAGCATTGTGTGGTACAGCTGCTGAAAGAAACATCTGCTCGGCAGTTGCAATTTTGTCACTGTGGATGTGCTCCAAAAAATGTCATTTTTTTTCTCCCATAATAATTTTAGTTATAAGCAAATTAATTTTTATGTCTGAATCTTCATGTTTTGGCATTTGTCTAGGGTGACTACTACAAGCCTTGGGCTGTGTTGGAACCTGAATGCATGACATAAACATTTTTCAAATAGAGAAGCAACAAAGCATTGAACAACGAAGGATGATCCTAGGACTTTTGTGAACTGTAGGAAAAATGTTCATGTTTAATTTTGTTATAAGAAAGTATACTTATTGTAATAAAATACACTTATAACAGATGCATTAATACATGGAAAACCTGTATATTCAGTCCTCCTCAGTGTGTATCTACGATGACTGAAAATCCTGTATGTTGATAATATTTTGCTGACATCCGTGTAGTTCTTTGATCTAGCATAAATTGTACAGACGTCTCTGTGCAGGATCCCTTTTAAAGAGTCAGAAATAATTCAATATAAGCTGCTACATTTCTTAGGGTTAAACTTAGCTAAATGAAGTAGGAAGAAGGAATTTGTACATTTCAGAAAAGGAAAAAGGACTACAAGCATAGGAAGAAACCTCCATACTCACTTAAATTTGGGTAGTATTACAGATTGGTAAAAGCAAAGTAAGTTTTGTTCAACTATGTGACAGTGCATTGTCTCTTGTACTTTTTATATAAAGAAATATCTAGTCTCTATTTTAGAATTCCAAATCAGAAGGCCTTGGGAATAAACTCTGCAGCTAAGTAGCATGCTGTAGCCAGCAAAATACATAGACAAGGGATGCACAACACAGTGTACTAAGCTGTGCAAATTCAAAATATGCCTTGAGATATGCAGTCATAGTAAAATGAGATCTCAGTAGGATTTAGTGGCTGTGTTAAAAGACTTTTAATCCATAAAACATGTAAAACTTATAACTATATTAGCAGCTTGGGTTTCTTTTCCTCAGAGAAACATTCCCTTCTGTGCACAAATTATAAGTGTATACTGAATATCAGAGCTTCCTTTATTACAGCTGGAGGAGACGTTTGATTCAAGAAGCTCAGCTGTTTATTCTTATGGTTGCTTCTTGGACTTTTCACAGCTGCTACAGAAAATAAGAGGCTGCTAGTGATATCTTCACTGTTTTTCTGTATTCTGTTTCTCAGGCTTGCAACCATCAATGGCACTGATATGCTTAATGACTTTCTTTGGTTGAGATTGTCTCAATGGCATTACTCAAAAATAGTATTGCATTTTCATTTGGCTGGTGAACTAGAAATATCTCACCATAATACAGAAATGGTAGCCAGAATAATATTGCTGTTACTATTCACATCTTCTAAGTAAGCTTTCTGTCTTCCATTTTGCCAGAAACTATGTAGCCTGTCATATGAAACTGGAATATTTTGCTATGCAGTCAGAAGCAAATCACTCACATTTTAGACAATTACTAGTTGTACTTACTTATCAGTTTCGGTAGCAAGTGAAAGATTTGTTACATCTAGCCAGCCAACTGTGTGATGTTAGAGTGCACACAGACTGATCTTTTTCTCTTGTATCGTTTATGTTTCTCTACAACAGTGGAATTTCTGTATGAACTGCAGTATCAATCAAATGAAATTAAATCTCAGCTGGAATCTTTGGTTGGTATGCATCTGGTTCAAAAAGAACAAGATAGAGAATCTGGAATCGTAACACTCATCTTTAATATAGTGTTTGCACCTAACAAACCAATGAGGTAAGCTCCTCTTCCTTATTATCAACAGGACATGCAATCTTGTCTGATCACCCTTAGCTATGTAAGCACCTCTCTGCATCATTTTCCTCATTTTGTTTTCGCTTCTGAGATCTATTATTTTAGATATTCTCACTTGCTGCTGCTTGGTATGAAATCTTTGGTATTAAAACTGACAGTTTTTCTCTTTTATGCCTCTGAGAGAGTTCTGTTGAGTTATTGCCTTTGTGTGTGGATCAATTTGCTTCTAAGTACTGGAGTATTGAAAGACTTCCAATGAAAATTAGTTCTCAAAATTTGTGGAAAGGATACAGACAAGATGGTCTCTCAGTCTCAAAAAACTTTTCCTAGATGAGCATGTGTGCATATTCTTTGGCTGGATGGGATGGTTGAATTTGAAATTAGTCTCTAATTCCCTGGTAACAATGGTCCAGAGGAAAACATTATCCTCTTTTATAGCTGTGATGTGAAAAATGATGTATTTGTTTTGATTTACTTTTCTGCATCCCAGCTCTTTACAAAGAAACTGTGAAAGTGAGATCCTGTTGGAAAGAGGGAAGTTGTGCCTTCCTATTGAAGCAGTCAAATGTGTATGGAGAGGAGGCTGGAAAGAAGCTTCAGTAACATGCAGGGACACAATAAATTCAGAGGCTTAACATTATGAGGAAGCTTAGGGAGCAGTCACTGCTGAAATCATGGGTTGCATGCAATGAGAATATTTTTTAGGATGCAGGAGGGAACTCTTTGTTGCAGTGGTCATGAAGGTTACTGAAATAAACAAAGAGCACACCTATAGGGAAGACTGTCCACCCATGCCATACAGTGTCACTGTGTCAGTAGAGAGGTAAATTTACAAATCATGTTTATTTTTACTGCATTTTTATTTCATTATTTTTGTTTATTTTGGTTTGGTTTTTTTATCTTTGTGCACTTGGGACGTATACTTGACCTTCATGGAGAGGACTCAATGACTGCAATTAGTTTCTTTATCATCAGAATCTACTGAACCAACTCTCTTCTTAGAGGATCTGAAGACATCAGAGTCTGGAGTTTTTCTGATGTACATAGACCCTCATCAAATCTGTTTGAATCTAATATGAACTGCTAACATGTTCTGCACAAAATTCTCCTCTATACCCACAGTAAATAATGAATAATGAGTAAAATAAATTGAGTTAAATTTGTTTAACTCCACAGAGAGTAAGCAGAAGAACAATCAGATCTCATGTCTGTGCCAATAATTTTGCTTTCATATTATGTCCTTTCTTGAACTTTGCTGTAAATATCAGGTGTTATTTAGTTTACATTCCAGTCTAAGTGCAACCTATAATTTTGCCATGCAAAATTAAGAATTTATTCTAATTTAAAGCCATCTGTATTTTCCATTTACTGTAGTACAGTTCTACACACTCGAGGCTTAATTTGGGCATCAGTTTACTCTGTTTTGTAATGTTGTTCTGTGTGTTGGATGTTTTTATCTGAAACTTTAAGGCACAAGGCAGCTCTGGTAGTACAGTGCCCTGCAGCAGGTGTGTGGAAGTTTCCAATGCTGTTCACCGCTACAGAGCCAGAAGTGGATGATGTCATCAGCATTGAAGCAGTTGGCTTGAATAAGGAGTCTCTAGTTGGCTTTAAGCTTACAAGCCAGACAAGGTAAAGATCCTGATGATGAAGTATTTATGCAGTTTTCTGAGACTAGAACTCACACTCAAACACATTGGATAGGACAGGTTTGGGCAACAGTAACATAACTGGGCTGCAGCTATTTTGTCACTAATTTCAAGTACTGCGTTGTATAGGTAACAAATGTGATTTTGAAGCTACAATGTAGAAAACAGAAGCATTCTACATTTAGGCTGTAGCCTCTCAGGAGAAAATTTCTGGAATAGATCCAAATGGTTTTGTTATAACTTTGAAGGTGTCCCCTAAAATGCTTGTGTGTGTTAAAATGTATAATACAATGTTAAGGAAGGTGTGTTGTGATATTAAAGGCTCATTATTATAGCCTTACTAATAGATTGTTTTTCAAAGTACTTTATACTTACACCAAGTTAAAAACAATCCTCTGCATTGAGCTTTATTTTTTTTTAAATGTGCAGTTTTTAAACTATTCCTATTTAATTATGTAAGCATGTTATTAATTCACCTCTAATCTGCCCTTTTACTAGTTAAAATAGTGGTGTCATTCTTTAGTATTTTGTTACTCTTTTTTTTGTAAATGTCTTGCAGAAATCTCTGTTAATATAGTTTTTACATAATTTTATCAGAGTTTCATGATTTTATAGCAAACCCATAGTGTTGTTTGTATACAGCAGGTAGTCAAGGAATAAATTGTGTGATACTGATAGGTAAGTTTTTAAATAGTGAACAGTAAACCTGAAAGAATTATGATATTTACAATCTGATTTTTTAAGTTTTAATTTTTTTTCTTTAAAATGAACTATTTTTACTACATATCTAGAATATAAATCTGGATATGGCGGTCAACATACTGTCAACCTTCATTGTAGGTACATGCTTTTGTAGCATCCCCAGCAGGAAGTATCCCTTCTTCCAACTTATTTTTTTTTTAGGAGCTTATTTACAAATGCTGTGCCTCTAAGATGGACAGTTGTTCCAGCTTTTAGATAGCTTCTGTGATGATAATTATTGAGGACTCTGAAAAAGGCTTCTATCACAGTGTTCAAGTTAACAGCTTCAATAGAATGGGCTGTTTCAGGAACAAAAGTGAAGCAATTGCTCTGCAATACTGTAATCTCCTGGTAGGTGTTTGATAGTAGTGACCTAATGTTCTCCAGAAAGGTATTATAAAACCTGAATCACTATAGTTATATAAAGAAGGGAGCCATGATGAAAGACATATTATCTTTTTTCCCTTAAACAAATTCTGACTTTTTTTTGACACAACAAGGGTTCCCTGCATACATTTCAAATACAAAATGTAATGCCTGTATGTACTGAGTAAGCTTCATGTTGTAAACAGTGCCAACAACTGCTCTGTAAGTTTTATATTGTTTTATCTCATCTTTGATTTTCTCAGGAGATTTTGGTGGTGGAAGTTTTGTTATAGGACAGTTAGCCAACCAACATTTAGCATACTGAGTCTGCAGTTTAAAAGCAATTACACAAGCAACCCTTATATTACAGATGTAATTTAATGCTTGAATAGCTCAAATGACTTAGATTAAAAATAAACCCATGAAATATTAAAATATGAATTAAAAGTTTCAATTGGGATATGGAGTGTCATCCTATAGACCTTCCCTGACATAATGATCAGCCATTTGGAGGTTTTTTTAAGTAAACAATTAGCAGCACAGTCTCACAGAGAATAAGTTCTGGTACTTAAAGATCAATGAGTGGGTTTTTTTCACCCTGCATGTAGATACTTTCTGTCTTCCTTTCTTATACTGGATAGTACCTCAGGGCATTGCTACTTTGAGAATGACAGGGGGACGAAACAGACGTATTTCTGACTAACCTGCTAGAAAGGGATTCTGCAGCTGTGTCTTTCTCCCTCTGCTACTTGTAGGACAGAGTGGTTGCACAGCATCACTGAGAAAACCTGTACATCTTTGGGGGGTTAGCAGGGTGCAGAGTGATGCAACAGAAAATATCACAGGCCCCAAAAAAGGCTTAGTATCTTAAAGATACTAAGGTTAAGATTCTTGCACCTTCTTCTTTTGCACTACAAAGAGCACCTTTGGTAGCAATTACAAAGCTATAGTTTTAACTTTCTTTTCCTTCATGGCAACTGCAACTCCAGTGTGGGCTTCTGCCTTTAATTCCACCTCTCCCCTCCCTAGAAAAAATATTCCGTGTGTATGAAATACTTCAGATTGAATTTATGATTTCCCATTTTACCCATAACTATATTTGATAAAATTGCTTCAGGAATGATGAACAGTTACAAATGGGACCTGGCTGCTACACTGTTCACAAAGATGTGCAATAATGAAAGCTCTAAAAGTCCCTGAAAATATGTAATGCGCTCTCTTAAAATACATTTTAAATTGACACACACATGCCCCCAGTGAGAAAATATTATAAAAACCATCTGTACCTAGGAAAGTTCTGATACATGAGTAGTCAAATATTTTAACTTTCACCTTTAAAAATTCAAAAGGGACACATTGTTGAATGGTTTCTTGTAATGGCATTAAGATTGGCTAGAGTTAAATTAGCAGATTTCACATAAAAATCTGCCACTTTGTAACATTTGTAATATTACCTTTTTTGGATTTTGTCATAAATGTAGGTTTAATTCAACACCAGCTGAAATCATTGGCAATATTTCCACTGAGGTAACTGGCTTGGTACAAGCCTCTAATGTTTGTGTTAACATTAGCTTTTGTTTTAATAACAAATGCATTGTTGAATGCCAGTGGTTTACAGAATGACCAAAAAGAACAGTTAGAATGTCATCCTTGGAAATAAAAATTATAGAAACTTGTTTGACAGCCAGTGCAAATTATTGGTCCCTTATTTTATGATGATGTCTGTATCCGAAACAGATGAAAATTCCAGAAGTAGTGCTTTGCTTAAGAAAACTATTCCTTTCTATATTTGTTTTACTGAAAATATCTTCTTCATGTATTTTTAATCAATTATGTTTTGGGATCAGAATATTTGTATCAATACAGAACTGGGCTTTTGACAATATTTACTGCTATATATTCTGATACAGAAGGGTAAGGATTTTTTTGGCAATTCAATTTATTTCTTCACATTAAAATACTGATATCCAGCTACAGCAGAATGTTATCTTATTTGTTTTCCAGTGCAAATACTTCAGTAGCCAACATGAACCTTGGGGATAGATACATAGGAACACTATGTTCACATTGAAATTATTTGTAAGCTACATTACTTTTGAATGTTTATTCAAAAGGGTGGGTAAATCTCTCCTGTTAGTTTTATCTGCTTATTTCTCATACACAGAGTCCCCTTTCACCAATATAATTCTAGCTTTCCATGTACCTGTTAGTGATTGTTGTAATCACGTACTACTTCCCATATACAGTAAAATTTTATCCATCCTTCCATCAAAACCTCTCCTTGCAGTCCTGTGTTTATAGCAAACAGGATATTTGTTGACTTGTCAGATAAACTATACTTCAGAAAAACATACTTAGTCACCACCTGCTATAAAAAAAGCAAACAGGATGGTATCAATACAGTCTCCATGGAGTGGTATCTGCAAAATCCAAGGCTCTAGCAGATTATGGAAATAGAGCTAGAAAATAGAGAGAACACAAACAGGTGGATTGGGGAGATGAGAAATGAGATTAGGCTTTAAAATGGCTACATGTGCTGAATGTTATCTTATACTACTTTTTCTATTTTGGACACCACTTTGGATATTTTCCTTACTTCTTCTATGCACATTTCCTAGTGCATAGAATAAATGTTCAGTTGTAAACAGTCCTTGATCACAGAAAATTAATTTTAATGCTGTTCGAAGAGAAGTGAGCAACCCATTTTTTTTTTATGTACCCTCCCTAATTATGAAGAGGAAAAACACAAAAAAATGTTTACAGTTATAACTATGAGAAGTATTTCTCTGTTACTGTAATTATTGATGCATTTCATTTATAACTATGAGAAATATTTCTATTTTACTGTAATTACTGATGCATTTCATTAGAATTACCATGAGCCAGAGTTACATATGCTGCAAGAAAATGCCTTCATTAAGTTCTCAGCACACACCCCCTCTCCCTCAACCTCTCTCACACGTCACTGTGCATGTTACAGGCTTGGATTCCTATGCCAATCCCCTTGTTACTAGTTCTGCAAACTTCTACAGTTACTCTAAAGACGTAGTTACAATACTTTATCTTAGCAGCTCCCACACAGTGGCAGCTGCAAAGAACAAATGTTAACTGAGCTCCATTTTTTGAAGTCTGAATGGAGACTAGCTGAAAATATCGATAACGATACACATGCAGCAGAGCTTCCAAAAAGTTGCAATCATACTTCCTAATAATACAATACCTGACATGTCACACATTTAGCCAGGAGCTGTATTTAAACACATTGCCTAGACTGCTTTTAGCAGGAAGAGCCAGTTTACCACTCAGCACATATAGTACCTCAGGGTAGAACAGGAGACAGAAATCTTAAAATTTTGTGAAGATAAAACCCCTACCTCCTGCTTTGATTTTACAACATTTGAACAACAAAACTGAAGCATTCCCTTATAGTTGTTTGTCATGCAGTGTTTCTTCATAGTTTTTGAAAGTCCTTTAGTTGTGAAGCAGTCTTTCCAAAACTATAGAGTGAGGATTGGAGTTAAATCTTTATTGAAGTCCAGAGTTCAGGATTTAGAGTGGTCAGTTAAATAAAGTTCATTTTGGTATGAAACAGAATAAATTTTGATAAATAATAAGAATTTCCTAATTTTTTTCCCTTTGTCATGTATTTTTTTTTTTTGGTTGAAATTATCTAAATCATACCAGCTATCACTGATAAAAGAAGTAATTTTACTTACGATTATCTATTTTTGGAAACACATTTTCACACTTTCAACTGGCATCCATTATTTACTTAAGGAATTATATACTTTACAGACAAAGATTTTTTGTTATTCTCTTAAGAAAAAAAAACAACCACATTTGATTAAGAACACTCTGAGCTGCTTTTTATATAGTCTCCAAAGTGCTTAATTTTGTCAAGGAATACGTATCTCAGGAATAATTTACTGTTTCACTAGTTTGAGAGAGAGAGGAGTAAAGATTTAAGCTATTTTGAGGCTTATTTTAATAACAGCTTATATTTTCAGATTTTCTGAATATTTTATAAGTTTTGCAGTGAGATCTCCATGAGAATATAAATTTTAAGATTTTAATTAATTGAAGACATAAGGTGATATTCTGGTTTAGTTTATTAATTTCAAAATTGTTTAATGTGAGAACACTGTCGAGAACAGACAGCATGCTATTTAAGAACAAGATTCAAGGAATAATTATGTCTGTTAAATACTAGCTCAATTTTCACTTTTCCTGTCTGCCATGCTTTCATTGTCTAATTTAAGGTCAAATTCATATTTACTCTTGTTCATTATTTGAGTAAGGGCAGATTTCATATTTTCTGATAGCAATATCAAACCATTATGCTGGGAGTTATTGAACATGCAGGTGGAAGACACCTTTGCTTTCTTTGGATTATGTGACCTCTGATTTATATTTGCTAATTCATTTGTGCTTGGTTCGTATGTGTTTTTCAGAATGCTTCACACCATTAAACTTAATCAAGTATATTAGTATCTGCTACCCTTGAGTTAAACAAAAACCCTTCTTATATAGACTAATATAGACTGCCTCATCACTGTCCTTCATGGCTGAGAAATGACAAGCCAAACATTGACTCCAGAGCTGTTTTACCTGAAGCAGTAATCAAAAAGGAGGGATTAATTTTTAATCATTTTAAACCACATAATTATTAATTTTTAACTATACACTGAATACACAGACACTGAAAAAACAATGTCTGAAATTCAAGTGCTATTCTGGGAATTTTATCTCCAGCCTTCTCTGTACTATAGGAGATAAAAATGAGGCAGCAATTTGCATATGCTAGTGAGCTAGCCAGGATGCCAGGTCATCTCTCTGATGTGAACACCAGTGAAAACACTGCCTTTTTTTTTTTTTTTTTTTTTGAGAAGCCATCTTTAGATATATTGTTAAAACACAATTTCATGATTTTTCAGCACTACAGGCACTGTGAAAGGTTCCTGTTTCTGATTCATGTGTGAATAAGTTTTCATTGCTAGTTCTTGCGTTGTTGACCATATCTTCATCAGAATCCCTGCTGGCCTATTGTATTATGACTATACATTTAATTTGCCAGAATTTCTATTTTCCATATTTGGACATAACTTTCCACTGTGAGGAACATTTTGCATCCAGTAACTGACTTGACTCTTGTTTAAAATTGGAAATTTTGGGGAGGGAAGTGGAACAGCCTGGTTTTAAGGTATGACTGCATGTGTTCATGTAAGCATCTGTGTGTGTATATGTATTTTACTCAACACAGAAAGAAACAATAGCTGCCTCTAGAACCTTGTGCCAGTGCTGTCAAGATGGTGTCAAGCATGCAGATTTTCTTTAAAGCTTTGTTGTTAGCTTTTCTCCATTTTTGTTTATGAAAATTAAAATCTGGCAAGATTGATGCACTAAGATTTTTTTGTCTGACTTGGCAAATATCTTGTGTGCACATTTATAGATGGGGTTTGTGATAGTTTCAATTTAAACTGTCTGGTCCCCTTACCAAGACTAAAACTATAGCTTCTTCTCCTGTGTTTTTTTCTGACTGTTTTAAGGAATCGTTTGCAGTCTCTGAAAAAAACTGCCATTGCATCACACCATACTAAGATGCAATTTCTCCAAGAATAAACTCCACATTTTCTTGTGTCTTCTGTCCCGTCTCCTTTAGCATTTCATCATTGCATCTGTAGTCTAAGTCATGTTCTTGTGGTTCTTACAAAGACACAAAGTGCTTAGTAAGAGTTGTCTTCCCTAACAGGCTACCAGAAAGCAGACTGAACAGGAGAGAGAAAGAAAGTGCTGTCTTAAAATGTTCTTAAATCTAGTCTATAGAGAAATGTTGTTGGAAATGAATATCTGTATTTAGGCCTCTATTTCCACAACCAGGGTTTGAATATTAATCTCAGACACTTTTGATGAGTGCTCTACTCTGTTACTCAGTCTAAGAGGCATCACTTGTTTTTCATCCCATGCTTTTTGTGTGTAATAAGTGTGCTTTAGGCATTCACAGCTGAGCAGTCTTGTGGGAGATGTAGACGTGAAAATTCAAGGCTTGCGTGGCACATAGATGGGAGCTCAGGCCACAGCAGGATTAGTGCTTATGGCCCAGGGCTATAAACTCAGCTGCACAACTTCAGGCACCATGAAAAGAGATTGTCAGCATAAGTCTGATGTCTCAAGACTTGAAATGTAGTATCAGACATTCAGTAGTTTTGCCCTAAAGGAAAAGCCAGGCTAAATCTGCTAATGTACCTAAGTCTGATGGCACTACTAAATAGCTATTAATTTTTTTTTTTTTTGAGAAGGCAGAAGCTTTTTAGTTTTCATTATATGCGCTAGCATTTTTTTGTTTCTTTGACCTTTTTCATCACAGCATTTTGAATTTAAGAAAACCTTTCAGAAGAGCATATTCCAAAGGAGAGCTATTTCTAAACAAGATGACATACACCCATAGAATAGTGCTTGCCTAGGAAATGTGGGACGTTTCCATAGAGATATGAATTGTCATAAAATATTAAATTTCACTTCTTTGTGAGTGTTTTCTTTGATAAGCAGTGTTATTTCTGGTATGACAATCTACGAATAAACAGAATTGAACAGCTTTTCTTTGACATGCTGTTAGTTTTTCACTCTTCAAGTCTTATCAACTGAAAGTGTATTCCCTTTAAACATGCGTGATACTTGCCCTGTTTTACTGTAGCAGGGTGTTGAGGATTGTTTTTTGACCATGCTGTGGTATTTGTAGTTTCAATTTCTTTTGTTCTCTTTCAGTCCACATAGTGATACAGAGGTGTCCTCAACAACACATACAAAGCCTAAAGGAGAATGCCTGAACAGACAAAAAATATATATTCTTTTCATGCTGAGAAAGATTATGGCAAGGAGTCCCTGAGTAACTGCGATAGACAGGCTTCAGTATGAGATGGGCCTAACATTGTTTTGTAGTCCTGAGCCCCTGTCTTTATCAGAACTAAGCCATTTTCTTTGGGTGCAACAGTACTGCCATGAAACTAGCAATTAGACAAGATCTGCAGTACTTGTGACAGAAACTTTTTGAGATAGGAGATACACAATAATATCAGTAGATCAACCTAATTATTGCACTATCTTAAAGTGCTTAGTTTATGGGATATGAAAAAAGTGGAAAACAGGGATAGAGAATTATTATCTTCCATATGTTCATGTCAAAGCTTTCAGAACTCCAAATTTAGTAGCACTCCACAAGATTGCAAATTCAGTTCTAGTCATAAAACTTAACAAAATAGGTGGCTCATCAGTTTTATTTGATTAGAGATTGGGAAAATTAGGGTCTTTTAACAGGAAAACATATTTTTCACTGTGATATGGAATTTATTTCTATCACTATTATTACATCTTGAGAGGTCATATAATTCTTTCTAGTGACAAATGCTATCATTATTCTGTAGTTATTATCATATTTATAATAATATGTTTGAAATAGAAGACCAGTATGCAGGTCCTTGTGTATAAAGATTATAAATATTTGTAAATAAATGTACTTAATTACCACAGAATATTTATTCTGTAAGAAAGAATGCTGTTGATATTCCATATGAATTCCATGGGCTGCCAAGTTTCCTGAGTCATGCCACATGGTGGCCTAAGTGTTGGATTGTAGATAAATTACATTATGATTTATACTATATATATAGACACTATATAGAATAACCAAAATACAGTATGTATACAATATCCATACACTATCCTTCTGTGCTTTTCTGTAGACACCCAGAGCCATTCACTGCACACTTCCTGGCAGGCAGCGATCCGGAGTTCCTTGTGCTGCCGCAAGCTGGAGAACTTCTTCCAGCAGGCACTGCAGGAACCCATATAACTGTGGGATTCAAGCCAAGGATGTATGGCAAGAAGCACAAAGCAACGCTTGTAATTCAGGTAAGCCTTCCCGAGTATAATACACAAATAGAACTTAAGGAGTGGAAGGAAAAAATAAATCCTGTACGAAAAAGCAGTGTTGAAATGCTGAAGTGCATGCCCTGTGATTACTAATCTTCACAATAGACTAAATTTTGAAAATTAACTCATGACAAGCTGGAAAAACATATTATATTTTAATTTCTATATTATCCCTTTGCCTTTATCACTAGAAACAGATACTTATCTTGACATGTTTGCCCTTACTACATAGACAACATGACATAATGACTTTTCACAGAGAATAAAATTTATCGTGTTAAGAGCTGGTAGAAAATATGGGAGAAATTGAATACGTGATGCCTAGGTTATTAATTTTACTTGCATTATACCTTCTAGAATCAAAGGCACCAGAAACTAGATACTAAACTGTAGAAGGCAGAATTTCAGAACACAAAGCCAGGAATAACTTTTTTTAGAAGAAGCTTCAAAATAAATAAAACAAATTTGTAGCCACGTAGATTCTGCAAGTCTGAAGGTCATGAAACATTTGAAGACTTTTATTCCTTCAGTAGTAAAAATGTCTTATTACTGCAGGAATTTATTTTTAAGCTTTAAGTCATTGTTTAAAAGGAAACTGTTAGTCAAAAACGTACAGTAGCAGCAAACACCCCAAACTCTTTGCAAATGATTTACACTTTAAATCTATTCACTGCATGCTGGCAATGTTTTCAGGCTATGACATTAGAAGTGAAACAACAATGTTGATTTAAATAATAAGATGGTCAAACAAAGTCGATAGAAAGATGGATGGCAAATGACGATAGTGTTTTATTTCTCTGAGTAACAACTTGTACAACAGTGAATAAGAAATTAAAATCCTGGAAAAACAAGAAGGCCCTTTAATCCCTCCTACTTGTTTTCTTTCACTGTATTGGACATTTAATTTAGGTTTTTTTTACATAAACAGCAGTGATGCTTATTGCTCTTCCATTTGAAAAAGAAAATGAGACTGAATTTATTCTGTAGCCTTTTATATTTACATATGCTATATGACATCTCTACAGAGCTCAGAAATTGGTAATGTAGTTCTGGAACTGAACTCCTCTTTTTAGGCATGACACATGTAAATGTACTAGCTATGTTTGTCTTTGACTTAACTTCCATCACTAACAAAGAGCTTTAGTGTAATAAATTTGTCTGGAATGGGATAAATATGGTGGCCAAAGATTATTATTAGCTTTCTAAGAACTCGGCAATCCAGAATTTCCCTTTAGTAATCTATTGGTGCAGATTGGCTTTGAGTAATTGTAGTTTTGACCTACATCTACTCACACCTCAGTCTCTGGTTATGATCTAGGCAGATGGCTCTTTACATCTCCATCTTTGGTACTGTGTGAGTGTAGGAATTCACTCATATGTATCAGATCACATATTGTCCTATCTATTCCTGTATGTTCAAACTACATGGAGTATTCTTAATGCTCAGAAGCAGAATTTGGACCAATATTACACCATCACAGTATGTTAGAGGTATTTCTAAAATTCTTACTCTGATTGAAGTATTAAGTTGGTTTCAGTAATGTTTTTATGAGGCTTGTGTTCTCTTTGCTTTTATTGGTAGTCCTTGTGTGTACACCAGACTTCCCCCTTTGCTTTTCCACACAGGCTTTCATTCCTGCAGTTCTAATGTAGCCCAGAGCATCTGTGACTCTGTGTAATTCTGCTGCTGCTGCGCTCTCAACATTGACCTGAAATCAGACTTGATGACATGTTGAGAATACCAGAAACTCATTTCTGCCTTTCCTATTAGTTTAAATAATTTTCATTAGCGAGCAGAGGGAGATAGATGTAGCTAGATGACAAAACTAGTATTAAAGCACTCTTATCTGGGGAATAATAGTGGAGGTGGTGAAACACAATTAATATTAGACCTAACAGTGGAGAACTTCTCTTGCACCTTTCTAACCAATATACTGACTGAGGCTTTGGGCTATTTTTAAAAACAATGAGGAAGTTTCTTTTCCTTTGCAGTGTTGCCTCTCTTCTGATGTGGCTGTAGTAAAGTCCTACAGCTGTATAATTTCCTTTGCATTTCTGAGGGTAAATTCATACTCCTAACACTAACATATTTTTATTATTAAATTCTATGAATAGTGAGTAGTATAACTGCCATTTATGTGTGCTTCGATGAACAGTGATAATTAGGCTGTAAAGTAGCAGAGATGACAGTAAATTCTTTGGTTTATGTTGGTCATTACAGTTGTGTTGTAAAGTAAAATGGGAGGTTAGGATAATGGAGAAAGATCCTATAACAATCTTTTTCTCATTTGTCGTAAACATTAAACCCAAATATTTGTATGTGCAATTTTTTTTTTTTTTTTTTTTTTTTTTTTTTTTGGCACCCCTTAGAAAAACCAATTTTTTTTTTTTTTTTTTTTTTTTTTTTTGTTTAGCTACCCTACTGAGAACCCTGGATTCTTTAAGGCTTTAATATTCATGAAAATTTAAAGCAGATTTTTTTGTTAATGGCCAGAATTCTTAATTACTTTGCTGAAGCAATTAAATGTTCTTTCATCATCATTAAAACTTCTGTTCTCAGTCAACTACGTATCAAAATAATAGAAGTTACACAATTATTTGAATAGCTGTTAGGAGTCTTAGTTTTACAAAAGTGACAAAGAAAATTACTTTTAAAATATAAGTAGATCAAAGAATGAAATCTAATAAAAAGCCAGTAAAGAAGATAACCATATTTGTTCCTGTAGCCGTGAAAGAAAACATCATATTCTAGTCAAGGTACAAGTAAGAAACAGTGACATGGTGCCTGAATAGTATTTATAATTAGGTAATATTCCATAATTAAACTTACACATTTATAATATCCTTCATAAACAGTGTAGTTCTAACTGAAAAAAATAAGTATTTCCAGTAATGATAAATTAGTGAAGAGAGCATGGTTTTTAGATAAGGATGGAGAAAAAGGGATTCCTCAGCTGTGCACATCTGGGAGCTAGGCTATGATGTGCTAGTAAAGCTGAACAGAAAACCGACAGAGCTTAGGGACAGCAAGACATGGCTGGGGCAGGGGGATGCTCTGTGAAGGCTTCCTGGGGCAGGAATCCCAGCAAGGCCTGGGGTGGAGAGGCAGGAATCCAGCAAATCCTCAGACAAGGGTGTATTCAAGTTGGCTTACAGTTAATTTGCTTGCACTGCTCTGAATTCAGCTAAAGACCAGAGCAATTGCTTTGTAATTCATGGGTGAGACTTCAGAGATATTCTAAAGCAGAAGGCATACAAAATAAGTCTTAAATGATAGAATAGATGTCAGAGTGAACCAGATTGCAGGTAACAGTATCAAGCCCTCCAGAAGCCAGGCTTGTGCACCTTTATTACTGAATAATCACTAACTTAGCCTACGGAAGACAGCATATCAAAACCATTTGTCATGCTGTTCTGGAACTAAATGATGCAGTGTGCAAGCAACAGTACCCAGGTGTGGCTTCTCAAAGCTTGTCTATGCAAACTTGCTTATCTTGACAGCAAATGCTACTATTACATATTCAGTAGCATGGTGAAAATACATTCTGCATTATTCCCGGTAGATTTGTTAATTACTGTAGTTTAATGTTATTCTAAATGGTATCTCTTAACAGAATGAACAAGAAAAAATGTAGCAAAGTTAATAGGATAATTGAAATAGTTTCACGTTAAGTAAGGCATCACCCATGTCCCTTGGCACTGGTTGTTGTTGACCTGAGTTTTATGATTTTAAACAGAGATCCAAAAAGTTCATTTCAGGCAGTGAAAGTACCACATCCCCTAATTAGTAACACTGGATTTTGAGTGCAGAATCAATATTCAAAATCTTTGATTCACATCCATGAGGAAACATTGCTTATTGAGACTATAATTCTCATAATGCCAAAAGATGATAACAGTATGGGAACCATTGCTGTATGAGGGTATTCAGACCATTGCCAGTCCTGAAGAAATGGTTGATATTGATTGTACTACATCTAAGCAATGCCGTGAGACATCTAATATTTCAACTGCAGAAGTCAGTTAAGCCACTTTTAGTTCTATTTGGAAATGCTTCTCTAAGCCAAGAAAATGATTGTTAACCACCTTCTTCATTACAACTTGCTTAGAGCCTGACTGGGCATTGGTCTGCTTGTGGGAAGTGGTAAGTGACTGCCTTTGCAGCACTTTTTTCTTGTTTGTTTTTGCAGTTGACCTTTTTTCCCTCTTTCATTCACTTATTCAGCTCTCTATATCTTGATCCATGAGTTTTCATACATTTGCGCTTCCCTTCCACAATGCACACAAAGCTATGGTTTAGTTTCATTCTTTATATATTGATCATAATAGGCCATTTTTTTGCTTGTTACCACTTCAGTATAAATTAAGGATCAGGGAATCTCAGATATTCTGTTTTAACTTATTTGGAAGTCTTGAAAATTTTATTTGGACTATCCTGACTTAACACTGTCTGGACAATAATTAAAATACCATTTGCCACATATTTGTTCCACACATTTAATGCTGTCCTAACATAGATTCCTCTGGGAATTAATTACCATGTAACTCAGTAGCACTTCCAGCCTACAGTAGATACACATACATGATCTGTGTTCTGCAAATTAATCCTATGAATTATGTAAGAATGAATGTTGAATCCCAAAAAATGCACTTTTAAATAAATTATTTGCTGACTGTTGTCAGTATTTGCTGAATAAATTGCCCTGTGAACATTTGTCAGCCATCAAGATGGTTAAATAACTTTCGTGAATAACTTATGGTATTTAGTAAAAAGTGGCAGTGTGCATCTCATTTTTGAATTCTTCAAAATAGTCTTCAGAAAGATTTAGCCTTGCAGATGGCCATTACTTCAACTAGGCAAGCCAAATTATTACTCTTTTCACAGTTCAGTTAGATTATAGTCAAAAGGAATTTTGAGGTTTTGATAAAAGAAAGTTATTAATATCAACAGGAAACCCTGCATCAGACTGTCAAGGACATTCAGACTGTGTTCTGGTCTTTCCTATGTTGTATGTCACAAGTAGGCCTAGAGATGTGTTGCAGGGGAGTCTGGAATTCTTAAAATACTTATAGTTATTTTAGATATATCTTCTTAACAGAGACTCTCTTTTATATTTCTGTTCTAGTAGATTGTTGTAGATTTAATACCTTAATCTTTAGACTATTGTTACTACCAGTGCTATTATTAGAATTGTTCCAAATTTGACATAATAAACTGCATTGCCTTAAGCATAGAAAGAGTGCCTCTGATTCAGAAAGTTTTCATCCACTTAAGCAAATAAATACATCTTGAAAGTCAAATATTCTATCATAATTTATATGGTTATATATAGATGGCCTTTCAAAGTCTCTCCCTTCTCTTCACTACTCCAGAAAAGTCTGAGACTTGATCTGTCTTCTTTACTGAAACATGTCTGACCTGGAAACCCAAAGCAGCAGCTTTGCAGCACTTGCACAGATTCTGTACTTAGCAGACTTGCTCTTGCTGCAGTTTTCATCTTGGTTACAAGAGCTGTAGTTAAGCTGTACAGCCTTGTCCTGAAAAAATACTTATGGCTTCAGCAGCACTTGGAAACCTAGTATTTTACCCTTGGAAATTAAATATGCTGGTAAAGCAGAAATTTGTAGGTATCTATGGTTTTTTGAAAATTACTGAAATCTAGGTTGTCTTAAAAATTACTGATTTCTAGGTAGTTCTAGTGCTAAACAAAGCACTAACTCAAGTTATGTTGACAGATAGAGTAACTTTTCCATTTGTGTAGCACTTGTTTCCCCTTTAGCACAAAATGCTAAACTAAATAAAAAGTCTTTCAGTAAATCAGTACATAAATGCACAATTTTTTCACAATCACTGCCTCCAGCTGTCTTGGATGGTAGCACATGATTTACAACAGATGAACTACCATAGTTCAAGATGATAAATTAGGTTGGAATTTTTTTTGTTGTTGCTATTGCTCTTTCGTTTTGATTTTTTTTTCTTCTAGCTTGATGGATCCTATCTGAAGTGTTCATGTGATAATGCCACAACATTTTCCCAATTGAACCCAAAGAGTTTCCATCAAGGGAAGAGCAATCTCCCCTGCCGTGGAACGACACCTAACAAAGACTGCAGCAGAAAAGGCAGCTTTTTTCATTAAGTCAAGTCACAAACTTTTTTCACAGAACATACAGTCTAGGATGTTTGTGTAGCAAACAGGAATTTGGTAAAAAGTTGTTACTGCCCAAAAGGCTATATCAATTGTTTGATGCTGATGATAAATGAAGTTGAGAGGTGGCACAGACCAGCACTTTTGCTTAAATCCCACTTAATCAATTACTAATACTATAGACAGTACAGTTATAGTATGTGTGGATTTAATGAACACAAATTATTTTTTAAAAACTTGATACTCAGTTTAAATCATGGCTGAAACACCTGTCAGATTTTTTTCTTTGACCCTGAAGTGATGAATGAGACCTGTACACTATAAATATGACCCTGAAGGTTAAATTTTCTTTAAACTAAATTGTTGATCTTGCATAATAAAGATAAAGCATATAATCTTGTACTGAAGTTAAGAAAACAATCAGCTAACTTTGGAGAGTGATTTACTTTTCTTAAATGACAAATTTATCTTTAGACATAAGATACTGATGTTGGTCTGTGTCACACCTGCTTTTGCTGAATTTTATCTTTACAGTCAGCAGACTCACTAGAACATTTCACAGTATTAAATAAGGTTAAGAATAAAGATGAGTTAATCTGCCTGTTTTACACAGGAGTAATTTTCAATTTAAATTACATTTTATTTTAGCAGAATAGTAATGAAAGTTCAAAAAATTATACATGCATGGTGAAATATCTATTAAGATCTTACGCTTATTAATCTTATTCAAATAAGGCAATTTATTCAGAAGACACTATGTAAAATCAGTACTGCCAATTTTAAAGTGGAGGTTTTAAAAACATTAAAATACCCCACAGCAAAAAAAAAAAAAGTCACATATTCTTACAACATTAGCACAGATAAATATATACTCAGTTATCAAAACACTGGTTAAAACCAATTGTCTAACAAGAAACACCACATTTTAGAGCTGTAGGTGTGAAATAGTGTAAATGCTGGGTAAGTACATAGCAGAGTGCAGAGCCTGTGCCAAAGGGTTTACAGTTTAATGGCCTGAAACTTCTTCCTCTTGAATAGCTGCAATGTGAGTGCAAAAGTGCTTGCAATGACACCTCTTAAATAGTCTTCAGCAATGACAGGGTAACAATTAGAACAATAGGAAGGAGCACATGAAAGACAACAAAATTAAACATCACCAAGTCAGACTTTATCAGTGGCAAATATAAGGTTGTTATTTAACAAAATTTAATGAAGTCAGAGAGACACTTTAACAACTTATTTATTCCCTTCTGTATGTTGTTATGATTATGGGATGACTGTAGAGAATGTTTGAGATAGAGAAAGTTGACTATGGCTTTTGTAGTGCTTTACCTAGACTGTAATTAATTGTCAGACAGCAATAAATAGCTAGACAAATAAACACACTATACTTTGGAGACAGTTGATAGCATTTATGGTATGTGGAAATCAGTCACAATTTGTCTGGATATGGTTGCTCCTCTCTATAGACCGAATCTGCTTGGTGTACTGACACGCCCAGCAGCAGAGCAGAAGCAGAGCTCTCAAACCGGAGTGAGCAAATGGGGCCAGAAATTCAGCCATGTTACAGCCGGGCTGTTAACTAAATGCTGGAGTGAAAAATCTCATGAGCTTTGAGGTTGAATGTCACATTGATTTCCAGATCAATTTAAGAGTATACACAGCCTTTGTGACCTTTTGTTTCCTTGGATGAAAAATGACACTGATGTTAGGTGTAATGGTTATGTCTGCAAAGGATTGTTCTGATGATTACATTAGTTTTACACAGGAGATTAATTACAAAAGCAAAACTGTAATTGTAATGACAAATCTTCATGACTTGAAGCAGGAGAGAAAGGTGGATCCTACAGGCCATGCCCCTGTAGTTCAGCCCAGCATGATGCAGAAGCCTAGCACCCGTGAACCTGCCCTAGAAAGGCAGCACAGCTGTGTGATTGCAGTGCTGAGCCAAGTGTGGAAAGGCAGATCTTGGGAATTTGGAAATATTGCTTATTTAATGTCACTGCAGTCAGAGAATCTTGTGTGTACTATGTACCATGTGTATATGTACTATGTACATGCACTGTGTTCTATGATCTATATATTAAAAATAATTCACCTCTGTGAATAGATTTTAATAGACCTACTTCATGCTGTAATTTTACTCAGTCTTCCCTACAACTTTTGCCTTGGAAGAGAAAAAAACCCCAAATATAAAACCTGGGATTTCCAGTTGCTGAGTGCAAAAGAATAGATGACCGTGTATGACTAAATTGGGCATTTGCCTTTCTTCTGCGTAGTACAAAGCTGGACATAATGATATCATTTGAAATCTTTGGGGTTTGTAATATTTCTGTTATTTTTCTGTGCTTGTTTTTTTAAAGGAAACAATTCTAGAAAACTAAAAAATAAAATGTCATGACAGGAAAATGCTAAAGACTTGGAATAAAAAACAACTTCCAAGAATTCAAGTGGTACAGTTTTAAAGAAAAATGACTGAAAGATCTGCAATTGTTACACATGAGTTTTTAGCAACCAAAATTCTGCTTCAAGATACAAATGGAACATGGGAGATAGCAGTATAGACCTCATATGCATAGAAATAATACTCCTTAATTGTGGATAGATGGGATGTACAGTGATAAGCATCACGTACTCAGTAGGAATCAAGTACTCAAGCATTACAAGAGATGACATAGAAACATATGCTCCATTCCTAGAGACCAGTTATAAGCAGAAAGCAAATGGAGAGTGTCATTTTCAATTCACATAAATATTCTTCAAATTAGACATTTCAACATCAAGCTGCAATTCTCTTGTGCGTAATCAAGAGTGCTTTTAGTTTTGTTCATTATTTTAATGCAAAAAATCTACCATTTGATAATACCATTATTACTAATGCCAGAGTTGCCATTAAACCCTACAGTATAAACCTGATGCTTTTGTATTGTGCTGTGGAATAATTACCTTTGAACAACATACAGAGCTGTGGGATTTACTAAATAAATAAGGAATTTTAGATCTGTCGGGAAGCAAAATTCCTCATCTTTGTTATGCCTGGTCCTGAAAAACGTTAAATATGATTTCAGCTCTCTTTGTTTCAGGACTGCAGTTCTCATTCTGTTATTCCAGTACCTTACATGGAAAAGGATAAATATCCTCTGAAATCAATGTAGCATGGTAAATCACTGTCAAATTTCAAGGTATTTGATCACTGATTTTTTTCTTTCTATGTCTCTGTTCATTATTTTCAGACACAATCAATGCAGTGGACGTATGAAATCAATGGAGTGCCTCCACAGACCGTACCACCTACAGCGCCAGCAAAAGTCGTTTCCACTAGCAGTTACATAAAACTGGCCACGGTTCGACAGCCCAATTTTCTACGTGAAAATCTCAAACTTACAACCACTGCAGTATCCTCACCAATCAAGGGGGCACCTTTGGTCCTGAGGACAAAATAGAGAAAGTTTTGATCAATTATTTTTTTTGGTGGGGGAGGACACATTCATCAAATAAATTCTGCAGCTAAAAAGGCAATATGATTTTTTTTTTCATTTTTTTTTTAAAGCAGGTGTGGTATGCGTTGATTGTATGGTTTATATGGAAGATCCAGAGAGACTGAGCTCTAGTAACATTCTTATTTTTCTATGAGTGACTTTGGATGCTTACCTGACAGTTTATGTATATCATAGAAATGCCAGCAAAGTCTAATGATAAAAATCTTTGAATTGAAATTATGTACTTGAAAACAGGGGAATTTAAAGTAATACTTTGCTTTCTAAGGGATATTAGGTCAGTAAGACCTTAATAGGAAGCTTTAATGAATGTTCTGTGTGATGTTCAAGATATTACACCCGAGCAAACTAACCAGATAAAACCAATTCATGATTTCTTTCATGGTAAAATCCTTACCTTAAGTTCGCAGTATTTTGCTAAGGTGAAACATCTTTACATGTCCAGAGCTTGAATGCCTTTCAGAATCTCTTTGGCAAATGTGTTAATGATGACATTTTTACTTTGTTTAGAATAAAAATCCAGATTTGTTCATCCCTTAACACTTCAAAATCTTAGATAATAATATGTAACATAAAACAAAAATAAAACGCCCTCTCGGTATTTTTGTGTTGAGTAAATTTTAGGAAGTGCTTTAGAGTATTGAAATATAGAAGGCTATGAAAAGTCAGTGAGGAACAGAGACAGAGTTTAACTTTTTTTCTAAAATAAACAGGCTAGAAGTTCCATTTATACTGCGTTTCCATGTCCATTCTTCTTATCCACAGGTGACTTTCAATGGATACTCAGGCTTTCTTTGCTCTTGCTGTTATGTGGACAATTAGATCCATGCAGACATGCTTTGTAAGATCACTGGATGGGTGACTCCTGCCTTTTTTCTTTATTGAGATTGTTTTTCCTGATTTTACTAATAGAATGCAAATTGTATTTGTGCCCTTATTTTGATGGTGGAATATACTTTAACAAAAAAATGACTTGGCACAGATTAAGTGCTTTCTTGGCACAAATACAGAATGAGCATCATTGCTCAGGAATGGGGAACCTGAGAACAACCTATGTAGGTCAGTGTAAATGAGTGCCAGTAAAACCATTTTACTGTAATGTGCTTGAGGATTTTGTTTATGCCACACATTTTAGAGAAGTTATTATGGACAATGCTGGGAACATATAAAACAGCAATGGCACTGTTTAATATCTTCTTTTAAATGCAGCATTTTCATTAAAAAACAGGTAATCTGAAAAAAGAAGAAAATCTGCCTTAAAAATTCAGTGTACAACACATGAAAGATGCTATCAATAGTGGTATCTGGTATATATCTAAAAGACGTTAGGACAGACTTGCAAGATTTATCTTAAATGATACTGGGACCACAAGTACAGCTATATTTCATGGGAAGGCTCTATCTGTATATGTAAACAAAGCAGGTATTTCTCTGACTGCAAGAAATCAGAATTTAGGGATCAGAAATACACAATAGTTTCACAGCTGATTATTGGTGTTCAGGAAACAGTTCAATGACATTTTTCCTTTTTAAAAGCTCTGTTTTCTTTGTTTTGCTTTTTTAAAATTTGCTTTCCTTTTAAAAGGACACTCTTGTTTGCAAGATGCTCAAAACCTTGTAAGTCTAGGAGAGATGGATTAGCAAGTGGCATATGGGTGAATCACTGACAATAGCTTCATTTCTCTACATTCAGATTTCCTTACCCTTGAGGATCCTTTTCTTCTGAAAAGGCTGAAAAAGGGGGTATCTATCTCCCTTCACATTAATCTATGGAGGTACAGCAGAATCTCAGAGAAATGATGGGGTATTGTTTATTACTATAAATAACTCTTCATTTCTAGTTGCTAATTTTGATTAAATAGCTAAAATTACTTATATTGACCCCACTTACATATTTTGATCTATATAGATGTCAAAATGACAAAAAAAGTTTTTCAGAGTTGGTATGACACAACGGCTGATACCTTAATCATAGCCTTAAATGACAGACACAGAAGTAAGCTGTACATCTGCTTGTTGCTGGCTTACAAGAAATGCTAGCTGGCTAAACAGTGTAGTTGCCACCTGTTTATTTTTATCGCTCCCCTGTCTCTTCAGGTTTCTCTATAATGATTCCACTTTCAGAGTAATTTAAAAAAGGGTCAAACCTTCTGAAGGAACATTATTGTGCAATGTAGAACTGGTTACCTTGAGAATGGGGTCTACATTTAAATTTATTACTAAAATACTGTGCAGCTTTTGAAACTATTGAGCTTCTGTTTTTATGTGATATGTTAATCTGCCCTAGGGGGTTGCAGGACTGTACATTCAGAGCACTAGCTTCAAAAGCCATCAGACTTCTAATTGTTTGATGTTTGTCACAATACCACATAGGAGAATGACACAAGGGAAGCATGGAAAGGATTTTAGGATGCCTTCCATTAACATGTTGGCTTAGAATGTGTTTTACTGCTGTATAACTCAGAAGTTTTCAAGATTGCTTGTTCTGCTCATGTCTTACTAGCTACGGTTTCAATGAGACTCTACAACTATTTTACACCTCATCTCATTAGTTATAAAAGGTTTTAGAATATCAGACTTGCCCTTCAAGAATACTAAGAGCCTAATATTAACTCCTGTGTCAGTGCAGCTTTTGAGTCCAGAGAATTGAGAGACAAAGACTGCTTTAAGCACAGAAAGTAGTTATTGTCAGGTAAAGAGCACATTGAGGCATGGGGCCAAATACATTTCTACTGCTACCTGCAAGGAAAGGTGTTATTTTAAAACAGCTCTTAGGGACTGAAGCCAGGTTAGCAGAGGACATGATGCTGAACGAACCGTATTCCTACTTGAATAAAATAACATGGCAGCAGCCAAATCTGAACATGCTTTTTTTTTTTCCTCTTAGACCACAAACCCAAATTGTCAGAAGAAATGGAAACTTTAGACTCGTCTTGCATATAGCAAACATGAGAAAAAAAAAAAAAGAGTCACTCCATATTACCCAATATTCCTAGGAGGAAGGCTTAATATTTAAAATAAGAAAGAAAATTCCTGGATTTGCCTTGCTATTTATTTGCTTGTGAGAAGTTTCATAATTTTATTTCTCCCTGCAGTGACTGCTCATTCTAGAATAAATGACTGAACAGTGCTTTACTGCTGACACAGATCACAGTTTGTTGCTAATGGAATGTTAAATGCTTTTTAAGTAACTCTGAATAAACCTGCTGATCCATAGAAGATTCATCTAAAAAGGAATCCAATTCATCCACTAGCTTTTCTGCTTCCACTGACATGAAACATATTCTTCTGCAGTTTATTGCAGTTATTGTAATACTGATCGAGTCAAATTTCCTATGCTAAGTTATTTTAAATTTTGAGACCATGGGATGATGACAATGTGCTGAAGTCACAGCAGGATATAGATGCCAAGGTCACTGCACAGAAGTCCGTCCAAAATGCACTGCTTGGTGTCTGGAGAAATAAAGGGAAAGACATGGGGCAAAGAGAATCTTTGAGTTTTTTTTTTTCTCTTTATTCCAAGATTTACGTCTTTTCTGCAAAGTATCCTATTTTTCATGGTATGAAAAAGAAAATTCTGTCAGTGGAAGAGCTGGTAACTCGTTGCTTATCTTACTGCATGAGTACAGAGCACATGCCACCAGATCAGTGCGGCAAAAGTCTAGGTGACAAAAAAAAAAAAAAAATCAGATGTTTAGAGAAGGGTAAGGCAACAAAGTAAAATTCTGCCACTTATTAAATGAATAATGTTGATGTTTAACACATGAGATCCAATTTACCAATTTGTACAAAAATCAAAGGCTCAGTTTTTCCATTAATAATAATGTGCTTGCAGGTTGCCTTTGCTGTAGCCTACAGGCTTGAAACTGTGCATATAAGGTGTGAAGGGCAGCTGTGTCCTGACCCCAGATCGCCTCAGTTCTGGTTACTTTATATAATATTGAAGTGCAAAATGTACATTGCAAATCAATGAAAACCTGCAATTGATGTTCTCAGAAGAAAACAAAGGAAAACTTCCTCCACCTACAAACTTCTCTAAGAACAGCATCTGACAAGACAGGTTTTTGTTTTAAAGAAACTGGTCTATGAAAAGCAAATTCCTGATGGCCTGTTAACAAACCCGTGTTTGAATATGTGGTAAACACACGGACAGCACCAACTCAGCAATCTCACATTGCTCCTGGCATAAACTGTTGCAATCAAATGTAAAACTTTTGATTTTAAAATGCTTTTCTGACCCGTGCACCTACCTAGCTAGCATAAAATGGTGCTTACATTCTTTTTATTATTCTTTTATTTGTGCCCTAATATTTGATATCTTAAATAAAAAAAAATAAATTTTTCATATGGTTTGTTTATTTAAATCCCCCCCAAAAAACGTTGCTCAGGTCTGAGTCTTACTGTGTTCAGCTACCAGTTATACATCATTGTGAAACAGTTCTTGGTGAACCTGAATCTAAATTACATAGAAGAGATACGGTGAAGGGGAGACAGAGACAAGCAATATCACAGCTACAAAATTAAATCTTCATGGTAAAACAATCATATTGTATAGAAATTATTTCTAAGGAAATCTCTTTTCTCTTAGAGAACAGTGTCTAAACACAGTGGCTGTGATCATTGTTCTGTCAGGGATGAACTGCTAGACGATGTGGTGTTTACTGAGACAAAAACAGGCAGCAAAAACACTAGATTAGCTCACTAAAAATATTATTAGTTGGGGGTGACACATCTGTAAGAGCTATTTGGTCATTTGCCAGGTCACAGAAGTCAAACTCCTCGAGTTCACTGGCAGAAGGTTTCTGAAATTACAATATCCATCCGTGCTCCTGCCTTGGACCGTAGAGGACAAAAGGGTGCAGTGAAGCTGCCTGGAGGTTCCCCCCTGCCCCACCCCTTGCTTCTGTCTTGTGCTGTGGTGCTACAGCTGCATAATATTGCCACCA